AAGTTGTTGTTGCATCAGTAGTTGTTGTGGTGTCATGCAGAGTTGAAGTTGATTCATTAGCTATTGTTGACGTTGGTGCAACAGTGTTTGTGGAATCCAAAGTTGTTGTTACATCCGTAGTTGTAGTGGTGTCAAACAGAGTTGTTGTTAGTGCATCAGTTATTGTTGGCATTTGTGCCACAGTTGAAGATGTTAAAAGGGTGGTTGTGGTAGCTAAAGTTGTAGTTGCATCAGTAGTTGTTGTGCTGCCAGGTATAGTTGTGGTTGCTGCATCAGTTGTTGACGTTGGTGCTATAGTTGAGGATTTTGGAGGGGTAATTGTAGAAGCCAAAATTGTTGCATCAGTAGTTGTTGTGGTTTCAGGTATAGTTGTGGTTGCTGCATCAGTGGTCAATTTTGGTGCTATAGTTGAGGATGCTGAAAACATGGTTGTCGTATCCAAAGTTGTTGTTTCCATTATAGTTGTACTTGTATAAATTGTTTTTGATTGTGCTGTCGTGGTGTCTGTTGGATCCTTTTTTGTTGTGATTTTAGAAATTAGTGTTGAGGTTAAATCTTGAGTTGTTGTTGTTGATTGCACATCAGTTGCTGTAGAAGCCTCGGTTTCTGTAGTTGTAACTGGTGTTGTGGTACAGACTGATGTCTTTCGACCTGGTTTTTTATCATTTTTTCCAAGTACTGTTGTACTTCCATAAACCATCCACCAGATACATACTGTGAAAAGAGATATTTCATTGTTTTTTTTCTTATTTTTGAGTTAAGATTCTATTGTTAATAGTCCTTACATGTTTTCCATATATTTTATCTTTAAAATTTTGTATTATGTAACATAAATTTACTCACATATGGTGAGGAAAGTTTTCCTTCTGCCATCATACCTATAAGTGAAGGAAATGACAACATAATTAGGTTTTGTTTTAATGTTTTCTTAAGATATATTTAATTTGACACGCAAAATATTGACGAGCCTAAGGCCAGTGTCTTGTTTCAAATTTAAAGTGTTTTTGATGGGGTTGAGAAGACTTTAAGTAAGTTGAGTAAGTTTCTCCAATCAGCAGTCACCTAAGATCTCCAGAAAAACACTAACCACCTTTTTTTTCTTTCTTTTTTTTTTGGTGAAGACAGATTTTCTTATAAATCCTGCCAATTGACCAAAACATCACTGTTGACATAAGGCTGGGACACACCAAGCCGACTTCAAAGAACTAACGGCGATAAAAGCCGACGGTGTTGGCGCCTCACGTCGGCAGCGTCAGACCAAAAAGCTGCGCTTGAACACACCACACAGAATCCAGCCGACGGCAAACTAACATGTGCGTTCTGCACATGCGTGAGAGGAATTAACTGTTTATATCAGCAGCTATCAATAGTATATATTCGTCATTCAAAAGGAGAAACCGAAACAAAGATATACGAGATAAACGCAGATATACGAAATGTAAACAAAGCAGCGCTTGCTTACCATTTTGAATATCAAGTAACGTTGATAACTTTAATCATTTTAAGTGGCTCATGTTGTTATGAAAACATTCACGTATTAGAATGATTTGGAAAGATCACGTAAGATTTAAACAGCCTTCTGTCTGTACCGTCTTCATTTACGTGCTTGTTTTCATCACTTCGGCTTTAATTCTCGGGCACTGACTCATTCACTAAACTAAACATCCAATCATAGCACATTCTAAGGGCCCAGTTCATGGCAGGGCCCCTCTCTGACCACAACAGTGGACAAAGGTTTGTTACTTTTTGATTGGATCTTGGTGGACTAGCATAAGCAAATTTTCCAACGCCATCAGATAAAGATGCTAAGACAACAGCCAGACACCTCTTATGGCGCTTTTCCACTGCGTGGTACGACTCGGCTCGGTACGGCTCAGTACAGTACCGCACAGCTCGGTTCGGCTCGGTTTGCGTTTCCACTGCAGTTTAGTATCGCTTTAGAGTGGGCGGGATTATTCACATGTCGTTATAGTTGCGCCGCCTCTACTGCCGCGACTCCTAAAAAACGTTTTCATTCTGCGTCGCCCCATCAAGCTCTCGCTGGATCCGCTCCTCTCCTATCAACGAGAGGAACGTCTGTACTTCCTCAACAGGGGGAACAGCCACTTTTTGGTTGTTAAAAAAAGGTGCGCTCGTTCAAAACAGTTGCGTTCGATCCTTCGCTGGCTGTGCCGATTTAAAGCTAGCTGTTGTGTTTGTGTCGCAAGTTCAGTGACACAGGTAGTGACCATTCTCTCCGGCCAATCCGTGATCAGCAGAGTTTACACGTCACGTTTTGGTAACGGTACGGTACGCTTGGAACCCCAACCGAAGTGGTACTAAAAAAAGTACCGGGTACCAGGTACTGTACCCAGTGGAAAACCCCCCAAAAGTGAACCGTACCGAGCCGTACCGTGCCGTACCATGCAGTGGAAAAGCGCGATTAGAGAGCAAGAAGAAGATCCTTGATACCAAGCCCGGGAAAGACAGGACTTCCCATTAGTTCACATTGTAGCGTCTGGACCAATCAGACACAATATTTTTAGTTATATTTAACAAATACTCTGTAACACCCCTCAGTCATCAAACCAACTATGAGGGTCTATGGACCCTTCCCCCGAAATGCAACTAACACCTCAGAAAGGCAGAGCAGGCCTCTGGTTCCATGGCAACCAATGCTGATATCACTGGTTTTATTGCCCAAAGGAATGCGGGCAGAGAAACTCTACAATTAATTTACCCTTAGGAAAGACACACAATGCCCATAAAAATGGACTCTTCTCTAGTTAATTCATAGAAAAACCTTTTTGTGAATGAACACACATCTCCTCAGGACATTGTGTATACCATTACTGTTCTTGTATATTGTCTTTTGAATTGTATACTGTTCTGTGTGTGTGTTATGATAGATCACTAGTTAATATAGCCCCACAGATACCATGTTTGGTCACTTTGAATTTGTCTTCTGATGATCTAAACGAGAGTGTATATTATATGTTGGTACATAGGCAAAATATTAGTGTTCTAAGAATCTTTAGTAATTTTGCATCAACACCCAATCGAGTTCCATATGCAAATTACCATGCTATCACACAAAGGGTCATAAAACTCCCCAGTTTTTCCAACCTCCCACTTGGAATTTCAGCCTTTCTCATTGGAAAAGCCCATCCTGAGAGGCATGAATCTTCTCAGACCTTAAAAGGCTCACGCACAGTTCCGCCCATGTTGTTTTCTTCTGCTAAGTCTTCTGCTAAAACCTTCTGATTGCGGCCCGTGTGGAGAGCCTGAGCCAGTGCGGGCGTGCGGGCGTGGTGGGCTATAACACATAGTCAGTCAGTCTGCGGTTCTGTTAAATACGGAGAAGATGAGGATGTGAGCTAGAAGTCTTCTGTACCTTAAATCTGTGCGAGGCCTCGGCCTTGACTTTCCATTCACCAAAGATCCTAGGATCTCAGCTGATGTCTCTCTTAGCTCTTTTTCACTTTCCACTGGGAAGAAACTCCCAGTCACTATCGAGTCAGAACATCTTTGGAATTCATCACTCTTCAAACCCGGAAGAACATGATTGCAAGTTCAAAACCTTGAAACCATCAAGACTATCATCTGAGACTGCATTCGGACACTCGTTCAATGACCAAGGCAATGCAAGTATCGTACATTTAACTAAACGAAACAGAGGTTTAGTATAAGCGGTAGACCCCGTTGCACAATGGTACTGATGGTTTTTAACTCAGGTGGTTCTGACTCATTTTCCATAACTGCATTCTCTGGTTTCTCTAATGGCTTCATTCATCCACTTTAGCTCACCTTTTGTATGCACGCGTGAGCAGGGGCATAGATTACACGGGGGATGTGCCCCCACCCCCACACACTTTTAATATCACGTAAATTCGGCACCCGCACTTTTTCGGGCAAGTGTGTTCGCATAGAGGTTTTTAAGAGCCGGTGTGAATAAATATAGATTTAAATTCAAAGAGACAGGATAGTCTGTGCATGATCTGATGTTTTATTTTGAATGAGATGAACATCGCGGAGCGCTAAACACTCCGCGCAGTGTATGTTTCAGTCATACTCTAAGCCGGAGGGCGCTCTCGCACAGAAAGTCGTACCAGGAAATTCCTAATATGGACAAAAGTGTCCAGCTATCGCTGTATGAAAACAGTTGTTTTCACAGAAAAACAGAAACGTTTGGAAACATGA